CCTTATATCTGACGGCAGACAACGATTCTCACAGAGATGGGTCGGGTCGGGTCGCGGGCTTCAATTGGGCGGGTCGTTTGTATGTATTAGGCCTCATAAATCACTGACCCAAAATTCATAACATATATACAGGTAAGTGATTTTATCCAAAAAAAAAAAAATTCAAAAAATCTTTAATTGGATTGGTATGACCTCTCAAATTATACCATCAATTTTTGTCGCTTTGTTACCTCGAACATTTATCAAGGTTATAAGTAGAGTAAGACTATCTAAAAAAGACATAATTGTTTATAATTTGTTTGTAATATGAAAACTATGCATTATTTTATTTTATCTTTTTATGGTTTAGAAATTGAGCAATTCTTCCTCGTGTTTTTTAAAATACTGGATAGAATCTGTAAAACTCTTATGCTCGAACAACATCGCCAATCCATTAAATTTAGATGTTTAAGGGATTTTTTATAATATAAACTTTAAATACAAAAGAATATTGCACAATTTCTAAATCACGATGAATGAAGCAAACTTTTTAAATTACAAGTTAATATGTTATAAATAATTTCATCTAAAGAAAATGTAATATGTAAAATTTTATTTCACTGCAGTCGTATACACACTTTCTTTAGAAGAAGTAGGAATTGAAAAACTAAAGCTCTGTTTAAATAGAAGTTTTGAAAAAAATTTATAAACAATTAAAATTAGATTGTTAAGATAATATTTTGTGAAAAGAAATATATTTAATATAAAAATTTTGGAAAAATTACTATTTATAAATAGTACAAAAAATTTCAAAAGTATAATATATTATATTCCTTCAAATCAATGTAGTTATATCGTGCTTCCTCCGTCCCGAAACAATAATCCTATTTGCGTTTGGCATAAGATTTAAATAATAATAATAATATATTGAAAATTGGTATAAAATAGATAGTAAAAGACTAAAATATACTTGTGAGTGTATTTGTGTTAAAAATAATAATATTTGTGTAATAATAATGAGAAAATAGGAATATTTTTACGAAGATATTATTATTTATAAAAATAAGACTACTATTTTAGAACGAACAAAAATAAAAAAAATAATACTATTATTTTGAAAAAAAAAAGTATAAGAACAATAATAATAATAATAACAACAACAACAACAACAATAATAATAATAATAATAATAATAATAATAATAATAATATTTATAATTGAGGGTTAGACAGGGAGGGAGGAGTCTTTGTTCAATTGAAAATGTGTGCATAAATTTCTTTGGATCATCCTTTTTTATATTTATATTGGATGTAGATAAAAGAGTATATTGAAAATATCAAAATATATCATAATACCATATTAAATTTTTAAGCATCTATAAATAAATAGTAATCATTATTAATTCAAAAAATTTGACATATATATCGAAATGCTGCCTACTTCGAAAATAAAAATTAAGAACTTGTTTATAAAGAGATACATAGTAGTGTGAGGAGAGAATTTGTAGTTGAAAAAATGCTCATTTTTTAAAAATATTTCATTTTTCAAAAAGTTAGAAATGCAATTTACAGAAGAAAGTTAATCAAACACACAATAATTGAGGGTGTTTTCCCTTTCTTTACTTTATACAATACACAATTAAATATTTATTCTGGAAAAAAGTTTATTTTGTATTTTTTTGGTATAGATATGTTATTTTATGTTATGTACAAAGAAAAAGTATGTAAGATAATATAAAAAATAAAATTTTATATTGAATTATTAATTTTTTACAAATTGATATAATACATACATATATTATATATTTTGCACTATGCTATATATTAATTTTTTAAAAAGTATTAATTAAAAAATATATCATTTTTTTTATTATTTTTTATCGTATGAACCCGCTCATAGCTATACCAATTTTTTATTAGAATATTATACTAACAAAATTAAATAGAAATCACAATGAAATATATTTGGAAATAAAAATTATAAAAAATTAAAAACTCAGAATATTGAAAAGACAAATAAACAGTCCGTTAGAAAAAGCATACAAAAGATTGATAAGGAAGAGCATGAAAGCAGACAACATAAGTGCTGGATGAATGTATTTTAGTACAAATCAATGGTGAATGATGATTGTCATTGTTATTTTTTTTTTATTAAATGTTACATTTAAATTATTTAAATTTTAAAATCCAAAAATGGTGGGGGGGGGGGGGGGGGTTGGGGGTTGGAGGGTGGCCATCCCTGTTATTTTCTTGACCCAATGCTATTTTTTGTTATTAATTATTCCCTCCGTCCTATATACCATCTCCACGTTGCTATTTTTCTCCGTCTCACATTTCATGTCATTTTTTTTTAAAATAATTGCACACTTTAATTTCATTTTAAATCTTTTAATTTATTTTTTTTAATTTTAATTAAACTAATTAGTTATTTTAATATTAATTTATAATTATTTATATTATAGGATAATTATTTTCACTAATATATTTTTAATTATCTACTAATTACACTCCTTACCGTGTAGCATACAAAGTATATAAGACGGAAGAAGTATTATATTTCTTGCATCGGGCCCACGTGGCTGTATGGATGGGCCCTCATGAATGTATTGATAATAATATAATATTATTATTATTATATTTCTTGCATCGGGCCCACGTGGCTGTATGGGTGGGCCCTCATGAATGTATTGTTTGCTTCAGACAATAGACGGATGACGTGGACAATGGTTGGTGTCTTTGTAATGGAGACTTTTGCCCCACAAATTTTCGGCTCATTCACACATCCCAATATCGCCTTTGCTTTCAAATACTAGTATTTTTTATTTTTTATTTTTTATTTTTTTTATCGGAGCTTTCATATACTATTTGCTTCAAAGTATTATGGGTGTATTCGATTTCAATTAATTATTTTGATTTTTTTTTTTATAAATTTGTGTTGAGTTTAATAAATTTTAATAATTGATTCAGATTAATTTTTATAGATTTAGGTGAATTTTTTTTAAAAAAATTATATATATTTTGTAGTATTACTGAATAATTCTTTTCTTGACATATATAATTATATATATTTATATCAAACTCAAAGTTTTATAAATATAATATATTTAAAATTAAATTTATTATATTTTCATAAAATAAAATAAATATTAAGAAATTAATGATACTCCCTCCGTCCTATAACAAAGTATCTATTTTTTTATTTTAGTCCGTTTCATAACAAATTATTCATTTCCATTTTTAAGTAACTGTACTATCTACCTAACATTATAAATACCCTTACAACTTACAATATATTACACAAATGTCATTACATTTATATCACACGTACTAACAAGATTATTTTAGTCATTTTTACTTTATTCCTGCTATATCTCAATATAATACTAATATTTCTAAAACTACGTGCAATAAACAAATGGATACTTCTTTCTGGGACGGAGGAAGTATATAAGTATGGATAATGTAAAAGTATTGTAATATATAATATTATTATAATGTATATTAATATTTTTAATTTTATAATTTTTAGTATTATATTATCATTTAATATATCAAATTATTTTTATATATTTTTATTAATTATTATTATTATTATTTATAACTTTTTTACATAAAAAAAATAAATATATAACTAAAATAAAAAAACATAACTTATGATTTTTGAAAAAAATATTAAAATTAAAAAGTAAATAAATATAATCTAATCGTTCAACGAAATATATATATAAGTATCTATTTGACTTTTACTGAAATAACAATATAGTGTATTCTATAATTGAAAATAAAGAACAACTGCATAATGATAATATGTTGGATTTGATAATTTTTTTTAAAAAAAGACGATAGTATTAAATATTTATTATAATAATAATTTTTTTAATATTATATTTATAATATAAAAATATATATTTTAAAAAAATTGATAATAATTTACTAATATATTTTAGTTTCAAATTATTATTTTTATTCAAATTATAACTTATACAACAACAATAATAATAATAATAATAATAATAATAATCTATCGAAATCTCTACTTATCCGGACAAATTTTATACTATACAAATTTTTCATAATTTTTCATCAAAATTCAATAAAATTCATAAATTAGAGTTTTAAGTTCAAGGATTGTTAAATATCTTGAGATTTTAAAAGATTAAAAGAAATAAGTCAATATTTTGAAAGACTTTTAAAAGTTTGGACTTAATACCTTCAATTTTAAAAACTTTTTTAGAAATCTTGATTGAATACACTCAAATTTTAAAAGTTCAACAAAATCGAAGACTTTTTCCACGGCGGAGTCCTCTCGATGATGGCAGGGGCTGGCGGCTCCTCGGTGAACCAGCATCGAACACCGGCGGACAATAGCAACTCCGACAGTTGAACAATGACTTCCTCCGGCGACTCTCAGATGATTCGACAAGAACGATTTGGAAAATTTTTTGTTGGCTCAGTCTACAATCTAATGACTCACTTAGGGACTAATTCAACTACTTCCAAACCAAACCTACGTATTTGATCTAGAACCCTAACTTTAATCGACCAATTTTCCCAATAACTTATAAAGAATATGCAAATGAACAACTTACCTGAAGGAATCAAACGAGAACGATTGCAATTTTGGCATAGAAGATAACCCCCAAAACCCACCAAGAAGAATCGCAAAGAAGAAGATGAAAGCCACAAAGAACCGTAATTCTATTTTTCAACCCCTGAACCGAAAAGAGAGGAGGAGAGATATAAGGTGCGGGTCGGGTCGAGGTTATTGAACCGGACCGGGTTGTAGGGTTTGGGTTGCAGGTCGGGTTTGGATAATGGGCCAAGTTTCAACATTCTCCACCAATTTTGCTCTCGTATGAATGCATCATAGCCAAGTGATCATTTTCGCCTAGTCGAGTCGCATGAGAATTGCCCTTAAAGATTCACCAATACACTATGAACCTACACTCACAACAAATGTTAAGTAAACTTTGTACTCGCAAACAAACATTTGTCCTACATAAAGTAATAGTTCATTAAAAAAAAAAAAAACAATTTAACGCTAAAATAGGCAATAGCTCTGCTAAAATTATCATTGGATCGAATCTACATCACATCTATTTCACCATTTTTCTGAAGATTATAAGTAAAGAAAATTTTTGGTAAAATATTTTTCATTCTATCTCATTTAATATATCCTCATATAAGTTGCGTTATGCAAGTTGTATTGTTTTCATTTCGTATAAGACAGTAGAAGGATCATCATTTTCAAATTTCAAACCATAATTTTTTAAAGTGTGGTGAGTCATTGATTTCAACTAGACACATTCTCATCTAGCTTCATGTATTGCTATTATTTCAGAATATTCAAAGATGTTGCGGTTAAAGTTTGTTTTTAGTGGATATCCAGATACCATTGTACAGTCTGAGACTTGCCTTTATGTGGGTCAGAAAGATATCCATCATATGTATATCCAATCAATTCATGTCGAATGTTCTTAAAATATAATAACCGAGCTCATCATTCCTTGGAGATAACAAAAAATATGTGTAATTACTTTCCAATATCGTTGTGTTGACATTGCACTAAATTCTACTAATAAATTTACAGAAAATGTTATATCTGATCTTGTAAGAGGTTGAACAATGTTTTCTATTAGAGTAGCGTATGTTAGGGTGTGCCTCAGATATCTCATGGGTTGTTTATGTGAGGTGTTCGGGTTCACAAACTGCATTTGTGTTGCTATCATTGGTAATACTCGGTTGTTGATTCAAGCAAGATTCTTGAAGATCATCCAGAAGTGTTGCCACACGATTGCCTTCACAAGTGTCACAGAAATCATCATACACGCTATTGGTAGGGCCAAACTTAGGCAGGGGCATATGTAAGTCAGTTATGGAGCCAATAGAATAAAAGGGAAACACAAACTCATAGAAGGTAACTTCAAATGAGACGAAAAAGATTGAGAATGTTTTAAGGTAAGGACCTTACAACCTTTTTTATTCTCAGCATAACCAATAAAACAATGAGTCGCCTTTGGATGGAACTTATCTGAAGTATTTAAATTAGTCACATAGCAAAGGCATCCAAAGACCTTTAAACTTTTTAGATCTGGTTTTCAGTTATAGATAACTTGAAAGGGACTCAGTTTATCAAGGAGAGGAGTAGGTAACCTATTTATTATATAAACAGCTGCAAGGACACAATCCTCACAAATTTTGGCAGGACAACAGCTTTAAAACATGAGGGCTCTAGCAACGTTTAGAATGTGCCTATATTTACGCTCAACAACACTACTTTTCTAAGGACTATAGGTACATGAAGTTTGATGCACTATTCCAAAATTACCAAACAGATCAGCAAGACGAGAATTCACAAACTTTGTTCTATTGTCGACATAAAAATCTTGATAATTTTATCAAACTGATTTTCAATCAAAGAAACTGTTTCAGGCACGTAAAAACTTCAGACTTACTCTCCATGAAGAAGACCCAAGTAGCACGTAAAAATTATCTACAAGTGTTAAAAAGTACTTGAAACCATACCTGGTTTGAATGTGATACGGATCCCAAACATCACCATGCACAAGGTCAAATAGAACTTTTGACTTATGTGAACTGAGAGGAAATGGTGTTCTAAATTGTTTTTCCACGTGGAAAATGTCACAAACTAGTTCTGAAGGGTTAAAAAAGATCAAGATCTGAATTAAGCATACCAAATACCTCAAAGAGGGGATGTCTAAGGTGAAGATGACACAAGATATAGTTGTTGCCCACTTCAGCATTGGAGTTGAACAGGCCATAGAGGAAACTTATGGAGCTATGTATTCTGTACAAACCCCCCACAATATTTTGCAGAACTTAAGACACTTCCATCTACAAACAGCCTTTAAAAAATTTACAGCTGCAACACCTAGTGAAACAATTATTCCAACAGACAACAGATTCAAAGTGAAATAAGGGACAACAAAGACATCTTCTAGCATGATATTGTTGTTCAAATATATTTTTCCAGACTCAACTATTGTTGCTTATTTTTCTGTAGGAAAATTGAGACGTATAGGCCTATTCTTGACAGGTCTAACATCAAACAATAAGTGTTTGTTTGCTACCATATGATTTGTAGCCCTTTAATCTACAATCCAATCCCTAGAAAAAAATGAATTAAACAAATGAGCAACTGACATACTTGATATATTGAGCCGGGGCGAGTCAAAACCATTTTTTTTTTCTGTAACAACTTGATCAATTTATCACAAAACTCAGAAGTTAGAGACATCTTTGAAGAAGTTAAAACAGGTTCAGCATTTACACCTTTAACAGATAAGGCATTAGCAACAGCAGAGGCAGTTTTAATAGTTTTTGAAATCTATTTTTATTTGGATAAACCTATTAGCTAATAACATCTTTCAATCAAGTGACCAGGGCGACCACAATGTGAGCATTTAAGAGTTGAATTTTTTGTATTAGATTTTATAGCTCTTTTAACAGCAAAGACTGTTGTATTTTTAGACAAAGGTATTTCACCACATATTTGTTTATGAGATTCTTCTTGACTTACTGTGTTAAAAGCTTTCATAACATTTAAAGGTGGATTCATAGCAAGTATGGTGCTCCTAACAATTGAAAATCTATCACTTAAGTTCATGAGAAATTGAGCCAAATAAAGTTTGCTCATATCTATCTAAAGATGATTTAGCATTACACACACAAGGATCAACTGCCTTAGTAACAGCGGTATGATCTCATAGTTGTTTCAGTTTTGTATAGTATGTGTCAATATTGTCATTCATTTTCTTATAATTTGTTATTATTTTAAAACTATATATATTGGTACTACTATTCTTTTCATAAGTGTTGTTAAGCTGCCTTCACATATCCAAGGCATTGGTACAAAAGATAAGAGAAGTATATATTGATTTATCAACAAAGTTTAGCAACCAAGACATGAGAATAGCATCACACATGTACCATTTTTCAGCAAGTTTAGCGTAGGAACATGAACATTGCCTTCTACAAATTTAAGCTTGTTTTTTCCTTTCAAAGCAATCGTTATAGCTCTATTTCAAATAACGTAATTCTCACAGCCAGTGCGTACACAGAAAATTAAAGACGTATTAGATAATTGTGATTGATGCAAATATAGAGAATCAAGGTAGTTTGAGCGAATAAGCAAAGGATTAAAAGACATACCGGAGGCATGATTGGTGAGTTCAACCATGGTGAGCAAGGAGAACACAAGGCAATCGAAGCAGTTAGAAACTTGCCTTAGGACTTCTACTTACCACAAACAGGGAAAAGGATCGAAGAACAACACCTGAAAATAAAAGCGAAGGTGTTAGCAAAGCTTTAATACCATGATAGAAATTGAAAAACCAAAAATACACACTAAAAATAGTTTTGAGTGAGCAACAGCTACGCTTATTCAAGTATTTATTTGAAATTATTGGTGTACAAGGAGGCGAGATAAGTAGAGCTCATCTACAATCTAAAATGATCTAAAGTGAATTGCAGCACATGAATTAACCAAAAGAAAACACTATGTTCACAAGGGGATATTATTAACCAAAAATAGATTTAATCAAGTCACAAAATAGTTAGAGAATTTGAACGATGCAACCATGGGTGATTACAGAATCAACAAACAGACCATCAACTGTGCTTTCTTTAACCTTGGACACTAGGTGTAAGAGATTAAGTTATGCAATCACCTTACCAGCAACACTTAATCTTTGTAAGGAAAGAAAATTGAGAAAACATAGCAGAATAAAAGAGAGAAGATGATAGTGAGTGAAAGTGGGAGAATATCCACTCGAAGATCGATTAAGATAAAATAGAAGCGTAATAGAGTGTTGCGATTCAAATACACTAGAAGAACAAGTGTTAAGTGTGAGTATGAAATGTATGAATGAGAGTGAAGATAATGGCAAAAAGTGTGCAGTGCGTGGTGATGGAGGTGTGTGGAAGACGTCGATGATGAAGATGATAGAATCAGTTAGGACACACAATCTATATATAGATATATGTATACATATTTGGTCCAACCCACAAGTAAGAGCATATAAATATATTTGGTCCAATAACCCTTAGGCCCAAGCGTGAATTTTGTCCAATTGTTAATACCAATAGAACATAATTTAGGTTATAGTTGAGCCCATGATCTTAGGATAGTAAAACGTGGGTATGCGTGAAACAGGTTTGAATATCTACCTACTATACTAAACTAAACTATGTTGTTTGTGGTCATGTGCACGTCATGTGCTCAAAGAAAGAAAGGAAATAAGTCATCCAGCCAGCCAATTACAGTACAGAACATTCCATTGCAATAACCTCACCTCAATCTGCGAGTAATATTCCATCCTTCACGTTGTATTTAATATTAAAAATATTTTTATATTTATATAATTTTTTGCACAAATATTATTGTATTAGTATTATAAGACACGTATTTTTGCAATTTTTTTTTTAATTTATACTACATTTTAATATAATAATTAATATTTAAATATCAACACGTAAAAAATAAATAGAACTCTTAGAGCCAGACATAGGCAGTATAATCTTTAATAATAAGAAGAGTAGAACTGAGAACTTGAGTTTTGGGCAAAGACAACAACAATAACAAGAACGATGACGATACAGACACCCACACACACAAGATTACAAAACAAAACATCATCGATCGATCCATCAGACTCACTCGCTCACTCCTGTAATAATCTACTGCTACATACCACTACTACAACATTTCAAACGATGGAAGAAGAATCGAAGCCAAGCCAATCCAAGCAACGCCGGACAATTGGTTGTTTACAATACATATTGCATTACCATCATCATCATATCTCGAGCTGTTCCAGGCACCTCACGGCAGTCGATTCATCCACATCATCCACACACTCGTGGTTATCCTTTTCCAAACTACGTCGTGGTGGTGGTGGTGGCGGGCGAGCAGAGAAAACCGGGACAGCCTGCCGGACGGTGATTGGAGGAGCAACCTGCTGCTGGTGCTGCTGCATTACTCTACCGGAGAAAACAGGGACGGATGTTCGCAGAGTGACAGGCGGAGCAAGTCCACGGTAAGCCGGCCTACACAGTCTGCTGCTGTTGCTGTTGTTGTTGTGATGGGGGTGGATCATATTGTTCGTTGTAGACGACAATTGGATGCGGGAAGGAGGGGGCTTCTGGGAGAACAATGGGAGGATTTTCGAGGTGTGCATCGCCGGACGTTGTGGGCTGGACGGGCGCGGATTCATGCTGTGGAATGGTAGCAAGAGGGTGCTTAAGTCTGCTGTTCCTGAGTTTTGCTTTGCTCGGTAGCTCTGCAATGCCCTCGCGATTCTGATCTGTTCTTGCTCGTCGTTGTTGTTGTTGCTGTTGCTGTTCTCGTGTTCTGATGATGAAAAACTTGAATCTTGCTGTGCCACTGCTCGAAAGAATAAGAATAAAGCAAACCGTTATGACAAACTTGCTCGGGTTAGAATCATCATGATATGCAAGAAAATGATCAAATATGGGAATATAAGATTAGGGAATAAATATTCTTTCCGTCTATCAAATTTATTTCACTTATCAAAACCAACAGCGACTCATGCTAATAATCAACCTAAATGCATTCAAAGTAGTTTTATTTCGAAATATTTTAATCAATAATATTACGGTTGCATATTACCGCAAGCTTAACATATCATATAAAATGGCCACATTTCGTATACGGTACACAAAGAGTTGAAGAATTTAAACTGCTAACACAAACTCCGCTCAGGTTAAAATTAAAGCTATTATCGCTTAAGCCCAAAACTTTACAACTTCTTGTATATACAACTATCTAAGTTTATTGCTTAAGCCTAAATTTTACGGGGGGGCCTTGTAAAAACAAGTATCTAAGGATCTAACGAACTCCTGAATATTGCAAGACTAATTCCAAACTTAAGATCAATTTCAAAATCTGCGAAAAAGCAACTTAGCTTACATTGTTTTAAAGACAACCAAGCTGCTAGCGCTGCATTCTTCTCGGCTTGCTTCTTGTTCTTTGCCGGCTCTCCCCTGAACGTGATTCCGGCTAATTCAACAGTCCCTGTAAATACCGGCAAGTGCCCTAAACCGGACCTGATTGTCGTGTAATAAGGCAGAGGAGAGCCAACTCTCTGAGCAATCTCCTGCAACAGGTTTTTGTACACTCCGGTCTCATCCTAAATGCAAAATGTACAACCAACAATCAAACTAAGAAACAAACTTCAACAACCCAGCCCATAATTCATTATAACGGCCAAGAATGCAGATCACAGAAAGATCAGATGAGGATCAATGTAATAAATACAAGCACATGGAAGGAGCAGCATCACATTAAATTGAAGGAGACAAGACTTAAATTGTACCATTTTTCTTCTGGGGAAAAAAAAAAAATTGGTTAAAAAATTCACACTGAACAGAGAGCCGACAATTAATTTAAAGCTCCATCTCTACCACTGCCTGCTTGCATTCATTAAATGAAAAAGAAGCATATATAGATATGTATGTAGTCAACAATTTCAATTGTGGACATCTATATCACATTTCAGCAATCATACAACCAACCAGTATTTATTGTAATTTAAATACTAATTGTCTTTTTTATGAGATGTTAGGTATACATCACTTGCAATTTTCAGAGTGTTCATACTTGATTAATGTCAGACATTTATTAACAGTAGTAAGTATGGATTAAGCTTTGCTAGAATGGATACACCTAATCAGGCGGTCTTCTTCTTCATCACCCCTTCAACATAACCGATTGACAAGAAGATTTAAATTCAGAAATTATCCGCAGTCGGTTCTTGCTTTTTTATCATTTGACTGCTTCATCTTCAAGTTCAACTTAAGTTTTCTAAATAGAGTAGAACTAAAATCGGAGCTACAGTTTGATTAAGACTAGAAACTAATTTCTAGAAGAGGGATTGTAGACATGGTTAGGTAAAGGTGAAATGAGTTAGTGGAAAATGGAGGTAGCACGTAGATTTCGTTTCTGCACTAATCTATGGTTCCTTCTCACCATCAACCCTCAATCTAAAACCTATACTTTGCTATGTCGTTCCTCTTTCTTCGTGATTCTACTGCAACCAAAAACTCACCTCCATTAAAGCAAGAAAGCTTTTCCTGGTAATTCCTCTACAGACAGGGGCATTATCGTCATTTGACAAATGCCACAACCAGAAGACGACTGTTCCGCGCAGTTACCGCGCACGTTAGCCGTCATCCTCCCATCAAGGACGATGACACGAGAGACAACGACGCGATTTTGAGAGAAATCGTCGAGAAATCGAATTCGATCTCCGCAACCACTTTTCTAACGTTTTTTCCACACCAACAGTATTTCTAATCTAAATCTGAAGAGTAAAATAGCCGCCGGCGACGGAATAAACACGAAAGGGAGAGGAGAACAGTAAAAACCGTACCAGAATACGGGCGGCGAGAGAATGCGAGGGGCCGCGGGACGAGAGCGAGGCGAGGGCGGCCTCGGCGGCGGAGTGCTCCGCCTGGCGCAGAGTGGAACAGTACTGCGGACTCTCAAAGTTCTCGCCGTTGAAATTGACGACCGCCTTGAACCGCGGCGCGTGGTCGGGACCCTCCCTGACGCACGTGTACGACGGCAGATTGAAGCAGCTCCTCTGCGCCAGCTCCTGCAGCTGGTTCTTATACATCTCTCCACACCTCCGATCGATCCTCTCCTCACCTCTCCTCTCCGACGCTTACACCGCTGCTCTTTCCGATCGGCGTTGCGCCGCAGCTCTCCGCCTTCTTCTTCCGGTGAGGTTTGTGAGAATGCGAAAATGAGGCGAATAATAATGGCGGTTTCTATATACTGTGTATATATATATATTATATAAATATTAATATATCTGTACGTATAGTGTATGTATACGTAGCGAGTCAACTCAAATCAGAGTATTGAAATAAATGAGATTCTGAAATTATAATTTCGTTCTTATCGATTTTCCATTTGTTTCTTTTATATATATATATATATATAGACAAAAGTGTCATATCTCCTTCATGGTTTTTAAATTCAGCATAAATTTTTCCTTTATTTTAAAAATTGCATGACGCTATTTTATATTTTAAAAAATATTGCAGGAAATTACTATGTAGTTTCGAAACTTAGCATAAATCTCCACTTTACTTTTAAAAAAAATCTATAACGCTCCCTTATATTTTAAAAAATATTGCATGAAATCCCTTGTCATGCAAAACATATAGATAGGAAATCATCTATTTATCACATGAGGAAATTTTCATGATGGCGGAGTTTCATGCAATGTTTTTTAAAGTAGAAAAAGGTACCATGCAATTTTTAAAGTATAAGAATATTTTACGCTGAATTTCGAAATTGACTTATAAGCAATTTTACAGATATATATATATAATTATTTTTTATTTGTACAAATTAATAATAAAATTGTATTCAAAATTAATTCAAAACATATAATTCTGCTATTTTTGTTTATTTAATTCACAATTTTATTTAAAGATATTTCAAAATTGTAAATGCGGTTAGGTCTCAAAAGACTGGGAATTAATTAGTGGTGAGGTTAATGGCAATGATGGTGATTAAACATCAGGCAGAGGAGGGCAAAAAGGTAAAAACGAAAGTCAATGAGAGAAGGTTAGTGGGGAACAGCTATAATAATCACCTCCGCGTTTAATCGACTTTGACTCCCCAATTCCCCAAAATGCCCCTCCCTTCCCATGCAATTAATTATATATATACTCTATAACTTTTAAATTTATCAATTCTTGTCCACATATTTTTAATATATCTGGAGATTTTTTATTTTTTATTTTTTTTTATTTATTTTTTTTTTTACATAAAAATTCGCAATGGCGGGATATTTTGATTTCACCAACTCTTGTTTGGATGACTTTTGAGGTTATAATTTTGTATTTACTAGTAAGATTTTGATTTGGATTTTGATTTTAAATAGTAAATTTTGAATAGAAGTAATTGTTTGATGTGATATAAATATATATTGATGTGATGTTTTGAATGTAAAATTTAATTTTAATCAATATACTCTCTTTGTCCTTTATTTATGTATCCGTTTGTTTTTTGCACGGAGTTTTAAGAATATTAATATTCTATTGGGATGTAGTATGAATAAAGTAAAAAAGACCAAAATAACCTTATTAGTATTGTATGATATAAAAGTAATGACATTTGTGTAATACTCCCTCCGTCCCATAAATATAGTCTTAGGGTGTGTTTGTTTGGGGGTTTGGATTTTGAGTTGGGATTTGAACAGTATAAATTTTGAATTTGAATAGTTGTATGATGTGATATAAATAGGTGTTGATGTGATGTTTAGAATGTAAAATTGATTTTTAGTATAATATAAAAAATAAAAAATAGGTGTTTGATTTGATGTTTTTGGGGGAAAAAAATTGGATGAATAGTATAAATACAATCCAATCCCCCAAACAAACACACCCTTAATTGAGTTGGACACGGGATTTAAAAAAATATTAATATTATATTGATAGTGGGTAAAAAGTATAGATAAAAGACTTTTTTTTACCTTTGTGAGTGTATTAGTGTAAAAAATAGTGACAATTGTGTAATAAAAATGAAAACGTAGGGATAGTTTTACGGTGATATGATTATTTATGAAAATAAAACTATTGTTTTGGGAGGACAAAAATGATAAACAAGACTATTGTATTTGGACGAAGAGAATATATTGTAAGTTGTAAGAGTATTTTTAATATTAGTAGAAAGTACAACACTAAAAAGAGGAAATGAATACTTGGGGCGGAGCAAAATAAAAAAAAAAAAAAAATTGATAAATTGTTAAGGGACGGAGAGAGTAATAAATAAAAGTAGGAATTTGATTTAACGTTTTGGAGGAAAATAAAATTTGAATAGTAAAATCGAAAATCAAATGTGACGAGTAAACAAACCTGAGATTTAGTGGTATTTTGGAATTTGAAGTAATTTAGAATATGATTTGTGAAATGGTGTTTGAATAAATACTAAAAGGTGTATTATTATAAAATTCTACTCCCCTCCCTCACATAATTTGTCTCTATTTTTTTTTCGTCCGTCTCACATAATTTGTCCTTTCTATTTTTAAAAATATAATTATACACTTTAATCGCATTTTAAATTTTAAATTTTATAATTTTTTAATTTTAATTAAACTATTTATTTATCTTAAACTTAATATATAATTATTTTTACTAAATAATAATTATTTTTACTAATATACTTCTTAATTACTTACTAATTATGCTTTACCTAAATTCTTGTGTCTACATTAATACACTCATATTACATGGGACGGAGGGAGTATTTAGTAGTTATAATATGTATGGATAAGGGAATGTTTGATTGTAAGTTGAACAGATCCTACATTCTCATTTAATTTAATATTTTTAACTATTTATCAAAAAATGTTTGAAGTAAAATTCATTTATCATTTTTATCCATTTCTATCTTGTCTGATTTATCAAACAAAATTTTTAGTTTAAATTTTTTAAATATATCGACAAAAATATAAATTATTTCTTTAAATTAACAAACTTTGTTTTTTCTTTAATAAAAAAGTATGCAAAATATATGAATTTGAAATGGGCCGTGATAGTCCAACACAAAAATAAGCAAGTATATATATATATATTATAAATTGTTTTATATTAATTATTTGTAAATGTATTTTTATTTATTTATATCATAAAAAATTTAATCTTCTAAAAAATAAAATTCAGATTGAATATCTTTTATTTACATATAATTCTTAAGAAATTTAAAATATATTATATATATATTTATTTTTAATTAAATATATATATATATATATATATTACATTATAATTTAATTTATAACCAAACAACCGCCATTATAGTAATATTTCATAACGTACTACTGCCAAATCAAATGGAATATAAAAAACTATGAAAAGAATTAATGAAACATTAACAAAATATATGAAATTTTATATTAAAGTCTCTACAATGATATTGCATGCTAGTAGACTAGTATTTTTATTTCTATTTTTATTTTTTCTTTTAACTATAGTCTCCACATTCACCATTTTCGGTGACAAATTTTTGTATAAAAAATCATGCAAATGAGATTATGTGTTTGTTTGGGAGTTTGGATTTTGAGTTGGGATTTGAATAGTAAAAATTTTGAATTTATATAGTTGTATAATGTGATATAAATAGGTGTTGACGTGATGTTTTAAATGTAAAATTAATTTTTAGTATAATATAAAAATGAAAAATAGGTGTTTGATTTGATGTTTTTTTAGGAAAACATTGGATGACCAGAGTAAATCCAATCCAATCCCCCAAACAAACACACCCCTTAGGACCATTTTGTTAACTCTATAAAGAGATAGATTAAACACTGTCAAAATAATGGTCATTTTAAGCGAATTTTTATCCATAATAATTTTATTTTTTTTGTAAAAATTAATTTTTGTATCAGATATTTTTGTAACAAGTTGTTTTTGTTTTTTTTTTTTTGGCCAACCCTTTTTTATTTGATTAATAATGTTTTTTTTTTTGTTTCTTAACTAGTCTATTGTAACAAATTTTATACCATAATAAAAATCGTTACAAATGTTAGAATAATTATTGTTACGATTTTTTTATTTAAAGAAATGTTTGCTATAAATAAATCGAAAATACATTATTAGCGTTACAAAAACCATTACAATAAGATTTTTCACGAACTTTATAAGTGTGTTGACCGTTCAATTTATTAAAAAAATATTGGTACAGAGAATTTCGATAGTTCGAGTATATGCACCGGTTAAAATCCGGTACAAAATTACTACAGATAATTTTTTATAACGAAAAATACCTATTTGTAACAGTTTTTAGAATGTTACAAATAAGCATTTTTTTTTATTTTTGCATCGAGAATATTTATCTGACGAATTGTGAGTTAATTATTGATAAATACGGATTATTTACATTAACAAACTAGAACTAAAGTGTTTAGCAAGTGTAAAAATACAAACGCGAGCTTCGCATTTTGCGACCACTCATTGCAGCTCGCAAATAGCAACAAATCAAATATTTTCGAAATGGCAGGTTGCGACCTGAAATACAAAATAAATACCGAGGTATATCAATTGATATAAAATAGATTAAAGCACTTCTTTTCTAGAAACTTTGGCACAATTAATGTATTGTTTGTCGGGTCTAGTTTGCAGGGTATTAGGTTCAACCGAGAGTTTACCCAATGCGCACTTTCGGGTAGCAGCTGCGGATTCTCACGTCATCAAACAAAAAAGAAAAGCTAGAAATAATGATTGGTAGAGATTAATCTTCGTCAAAGTAGGCATATTTAAGGTGGTCGGATAGTTTCTTCGGCTCGCATTTGGGTTTTCTTTCACTACTCGTGGGTGGTGGTTCATTCGGAATAGATTCGAATGGAGGTTCGCAATCATCTTCGTGATTAGCAAGCTTCTAATAAGATGATTTTTCATCACATAATTTATAAAATTAGAGTTAATTGCGAGGTGATTCCTCCTCAAACAAACCACAAATTAAATCATGATTGAAAGTGTTAATATCAATGATTTCAAATGATTTTGGATCAAGTATGCAATATTGCTTCTTTCATAAGGTAAATAACGTTGTCTTCGCCAAATTGTAATATTAGTTCTCCTTTGGCGATATTGATGTTATCTTATACAGAGAAAAAGGTCTCCCTAAAATTAGTGAAGTATTCTTATTCTCATTTATTTTGATAACTATGAAATAGGAAAAATAAATTTATGAATAATTCCTTTGAAATTTTAACCAAATTTTTTTATACTTTAGTAATATGAATTTGTTGAATTAACTTTGTTAGAAAATATCGTCGACTTATGGTCAAATAGTATTGGGTTTGTATATAAGAAAATATATATGTAAGTATATATGAGTTTCTATTTTCTTACATATATAGGTAAGAAAATAGTATTTGGATTTGATATATTTCTAATATGAGTTTGTTGAAGTAACTTTGTTAAAAAATATCAATGACTTATTTTCATATATTCAAATATTTTCGATACTAACGTATATATCAATTATATATTTAACTATGAAACATACTTGAATGTATGAAAATATCAATAACTTACACTTTAATAATATGAGTTTGTTGAAATAACTTTATTAGAAAAATAAGTGTTTGTAATAATTTATTTGATAAAAATTATGGTAAAAAAAAAAAAATTAGAATTATTTTATATGAATATAATAATAATATTTTTGTTTAATATCTATTTAAAATTTATTTTGAATTACTTTGAAAAGTAATTATATACATATTATCTTAATCAACCAAATATAAAGTAATAAGAATTAGATATGCTATTGCTAAAAACTAATTTATAATTTTAAAAATAAAACTAAATATATATATATATATATATATAATTTATAATAAAATAACATTATATGAAATTATATACATATTATAATGAAATCACAATTAAATTTTAATGGATTATTATATATTATATTCATATACTTAGAAAGAAAAAAATCTATAAAACAAATTATATAATTTATAATGTGATTATAAAGGATATTTTGGGTTTAAAAAAAGTAATAATATCGTATAATCTAACAAAGTAAACATAATACGATAATTTGATCTATTGTTTAATCTATCAAAACATTATATTCATTAATCTTTTGATTATTTAATCTATTAAAACAATATTTAGTATTATAATACAATTATTCGAAGTAAAAGCCCATAGTATTATAGTTGTGGGTCCACAAGTATTAGAATTGGGCGGAAACATTCAAGTGCTAAGTCATCGAAATAGAATTTATATTGTTTTGTACCGTAACAAAAATTATAAAAATATATATGTAAGCATAGAGTTTGTTCATAGGGATTGTTTGTTTGGAGTTCGAATTTTGAATTTCGGATTTGAATAGCAAAAAGATTGAATTGAAATAATGTAATATAAATAAGTTGTTAATATTATATTTTGAATGTAAATTAAATTTTTTAGTATAATATATAAAATAAAAGATAGATGTTTGATTTTTTTGGGATGAATAGTAAAATCCAAAACAAAAATTAGGTATAGTATCGGTAATATACAACATAATATTTTGTGTTGAATAAATAATTTTTACGAATGTATAAAATATATGTGTTATATATATATGTTTTTATTTTATATTACCTCCGTCCGGCTCAATGCGTCTCATTTATTTTTTGCATGTTGATATTCGAATATTAATTATTACATGAAAATATAATACAAATTAAGGAAAAATGATAAATAATATTTTTAATGTTAAATACAATGATACAAAAAGTAAACGAGACTTTTAGAGCAAGACGGATGAAGTATTAATATATGTATATTATTTATTTTTTTACTAATATTTATGAAAAATTGTAGTACCAAAATCACTATATAAGTGAACAATAATGTAACAAAAGTAATACTCTTAAACATAGTGATGATTTAATAAAAGTTGTAGGCTTACTCTTACCTCTTGGATTCTCTCCATCACATTATTGTGTTTTCTGCTATTTCAGCAGATTCATCTTCAACAAACCACTTGTTCACTCTTATTTTAGCAATGGCTGCCTAAAAGACACAATTCAGGATTCAGAAAATAACCACATTTCTATATCTAAAATTCGACAATTTTCTCGAAGAGCCGCGCACCTGTTTATCCCAATCGGTTCTCCGGGTTATAATGAGTAAGGCGATAGTTTGGACCAACGTTCCGACAAGCATTCCAATCCAAACTCCCTGCAAAAACTCAAGGTCCGGCGATCAAGCACGTGCAATGCATAAGATGGACTGTGAGATTGCGCGAATGAACATGACAGACCTCGACTTGCAATCCAATGGTGTAACCAAGTACGAAGCCGAGAGGTATTCCTAGCAAATAATACGACGCGAGGTTCACATAAACAACAGTGGACTGCCAACCGGCTCCGATAGCCACACCTGCGCCGTGTTTGATGATTTCATCGAAAGCCAACAAAGAATGGATCACTTCAAAATATATAAATAAATAAATAAATGATGCACATCCCTTTAAGTTTAAATTTTATTGGGTAAATTATATAACACTTATATAAATAAAAGACCTAAAATATTTTAAATAACTTTTTAAAAATAAATAAATAATTGATCAATAATTTATTTTATAATTTTGTGTAAATTATATAATATCCCCTTGTGTTTTTAGTAAAATGTACAAAACACCTGTGTTTTATTTATTGTGTGAAATCCCTTGTGTTAATGTAAAGTTTATACGAAACACTCTTCTTGTCCAAAACTGATATTTAGTTCTAAATAAATACCTAAATTACGCAAATTTTATACAAATAAAAAGCGCAAAATATCTTAAATAATTTTTTTGCATTAAATAAATAATTTATTAATCCTTTATTTTATAGTTTTTGAGAAAAATTGTTGTCTATTTTTATAATAATTTTAAAAATAAATGATTGATCAATTATTTATTTATTTATTTTATTAAAAAAATTATTTAAGATATTTTACGTTTTTTATTTGTATAAAACTTACGTAATTTAGGTCTTTATTTCGAACCAAATATCAATTTTGGACAAGAAGGGTATTTAATGCAAACTTTTCGTTAACATAAGAGAGTTTCACGTAATAAATAAATAAAAACAAGGTGGTTTATGCATTTTCAGTAAAACACAAAAATGTGTTATATAATTTACCCTATAATTTTTATAAAAATCATATAACAATGTTTCTAAAAAAAACTATAAAATGAAAGATTAATCAATTATTTATTTATTTATTTTATTCAAAATAATTATTTAAGATATTTAAATATAAAACTTGTATGATTCAATACATATTTACAATCAAATATCAGTTTTTTTTTTAAAAACAAAATAGACAGGAGTTTGACACAATAAATAAAATTATAATATTTTATATAGTTTTACTAAAACACGTTATATAATTTATTCAATTTCATTCAACAACAACGATATTGGAAATTACGAAGGGGCATCGATCTTACCAGACAGAACGGGCTGAACGCTGTTCAGGAGTATGGAAAATGCAAGAAGAGGCGATAATCGAGCAACTTCTGCTGCTACAGCTTTGTCCTCGGTGAATATATAAGCTACGCGTTCGCGGAGGAAGAGGAAGATCACAAACAGCACAAAACCAATTGCAAATGAAGTAAGCACAATGTTCACAACAGAGAACTTTGCAGCTTTCGAATCTCCCATGCCAAGTTCATTCGCAACACGAACACTGCAAATATGGATCGCAATCGACAAAGTTATTACATGATTATCGGCTACGAGAATATGCAATCACAACAATATTACAAATACCTAGCCGCAGACAAGAATCCGAGTGATATCATCATCTCCCAGCCATTGATATTAAGGCTGAAATGAATGCAAGTCTTAGATTCCATTTCTATATATAAAAAACCCAAAGGAGAATAAAAACTTAGGTAAATTATACAGTATTTCCTTGTATTTTTAATATAAAATTTGCACAAAATACTCTATTACAGCTAAGTTTTATAAAGATAAATAACTTAAAGTGTTTTAAATAATACTTTTTTTGAATAAAATAAATATTTATTTTTATAATTTTTGTAAAAAATCAGATAAAAATTTGTCTTAAAAAAATTATAAAATAAAGAATTAATCAATTTTTTTTATTTATTTTATTCAAAAAAAGATTATTTTAAGATATTTTACCTTTTTTTTATTTGTATAAAACTTGTATAAACAATGAGAGTATTTCGAACAAATTTTACATTAACACAAAGAGATTTCACGCAATAAAATAAAATATATAGTTTTTTTTGTATAGTTTTACTAAAAAGACAAAGGACCTCTTATATAATTTGCCCTAAGATAAAAGGGAAGCAATTCTACCAAATCGAAAGGGCATCGATTTCGACCTCTGCATTTTTCAAGTTTCCTGTGAGAAGAATCAATATAGCATTGTACCATAGTTCAAGACTGCACCAATATAACAAAAAACCCATTAGTATCGAGCATTTAATCGAGCCTTTTAACAAGAACAAGCCTGCCTTTCTTACCAGAGCATTGCACCAGAGGACAAAGACAGCTTGATGGCCGGAAAAAGATCTTCGAATGCTAATGTCGAAAAGCCTTTCCATGTTTTTCGACATCCTCCAGAGATAACAAACAAAAGCTGTCCCAAATTCGGAATCCAGTATGCCAAAATAGTCGAAATTAGAGCGCCTGTTAGTCCATACCCAAGCTTGAAAGTCAAAAGCCAAGAGAGGATCATGTGGATTGTTAATGACGCAGCTGCCAAGTATGAAATGATCCTGTTCTTGCTCTGCGCTTGCAAGAACATTTGGCAGCTATACGACACCATGAATGAATACACAACTGGAATAAACCACAGAGCAATTTTTCCAGCAACTTCACTGATAATTTCATCCTGCCCTAATGATTTCAATATAGGAGTTGAGAAAACATAAATAGGTACGATTAGAGTTGCAGTAATGGTTAGAACAATCCACGATCTCTGTAGATATATCCCCAGCATATGGTATTGCTTGGCGCCGTACGCCTGTCCGCATAGGGTTTCGAATCCACTGGCAACCCCAAGCTGCACAATCAAAATCGGCAAGTAAATCACAAAGCTCTGTTCGTCAATTTGACAATTTCCACTACCGAATCTGAATCGTTTCAATTATTACTTTCAAACACAGATGCTCAATTTCATTTTTGTTGATTTTAGTGGAAATAGTTGCCAAAAACATCGTGAATCGTGATGGATTTGAAACAACCAGGTTAAGAACAAACGCGAGAGCTCGAATCACAAAGCGAAACACCATACCGTTAATCCATTGGCGAATCTGGTGAGAAGAGTCGCGACGAGAGAATAGGCTGCAAGCTCGGTAGCACCAACGTGGCCGACGAACGCTTGGCTGATGACATTTATTCCAAAGGTTGAAAATCGGGTGAAAATTGCAGGTCCAGCGACGATCCACATCTTCTTCGACTCCGACCATACCTTGCTGGCGAGACTTGTCGTCTCCTCGCCGTCTTCGCCTCCATTTTCTAGTGTCGACGCCAACAGCTTTTCCTCAATTTCACTGCGTTCCATATCCCAACCACCTCCTTTTATCTCCTTCTGAACGAAGAACACAGAATCAATGGCACAATATATTCCATAAAGAGAAAATGAAAAACAGTTACTATATGGCTATGTGCCACGCATACACAATGTTTTGAAATTGGCGCCAAAAAATACAACAAAGGGTTGTTTAGCACGAGGTTTTTGAAAATTTAAAAGTTTGAAAAAAAAAATTAAAATTATTACATAATTTGATATTTTGTAAAAGAAAAATGCATTCAATATGATATTTTTTAAAAAATAAATAATATGAAATAAATAAAAATTTATTATGTAAACAGAATGCAAATATATAAAAAAATATGGACTTACAAGAAATAAAATTGTACTCCAAAAGGCATAACACTGACAGCATATATATATATATATATATATAAAATGTCAACACTTTTGATACACAAATCAATGTACAATTACATTTTATACTCATGTGATTATTTTAAATAATAAAAATTAATAAATTATTAATAACAACTGTTCGACGGAACGTTATTTTAAATTCTATAAATTAATAAATTATTAAAAATAAATAAAGATGTTATTTTATTATTTTTATTTAAGTATGATATCATACTTTAATATAATAGGGATATAATTGTATAGATAATAAAAATTTTATAATTAAATAAAAAAATATTTATTTATTTATAATTAATTTAACACTAATTTTATAAAAAATAAATAATTTTAAATAATAATAAAAATTTTATAATTAAATAAAAAAAAAATTATTTATTTATAATTAATTTAACACTAATTTTATAAAAAATAAATAATTTTAAATAAAAATAAAAATATTTTCCCGTCTCATAAGAATGATATCATTTTTTATTTTGTCCCTCCAAAAAAAAAAATATCATTTATTAATTTAGTAATTGTACTTAATATAATTAATACCCTTACAACTTTCAATATATTACAGAAATGTTATTATTTTTTATCACAAAATTTAATAGGGGCATTTTTATTTTTTTCACTATAAACCAATATAATACTAATATTAAAAAATTTATGTAAAAAAACAAATATTACTCCTTTTGCGATACGGAGATAATATCTTTTTATTAAAAAGACGTTAAAAAATTATTTAAATTAATTAATATTTATTAAATATATTTAAGATAAATAAATTTACTATTTAATATAAAAAAAAAAAAGAGTATATCAATGTGACCTCCCATTTGGAGAAATATTTTTGTATTGCATTTAAAATAGATTTAGACTGTGTTTATTTAACAATTCTTTTTTAAACTTGAATACAAAAATTTAATGATAAATTATATAATAACATCTTATAATTTAGTAAAAATATATAAAATATTCTATTTTTATGTATTGCATAAAATTTTTTTATATTAATGTAAAATTCGTTTAAAACAACTAATATTTATTTGAATCTGAACAAATAATAATAATAAAGAAGGTATATTTTTTTTAGTCACGTAATTGGACCATTTATTATTTTAGTCCTGTAAGTGGAGCCTGTCGCAAACTAGTCACATAAGTGAAAATTTTTCGCTATTTTAGTCCTCCGGCGCCGGAGATGCCCGCGTGGCTCGCCGGAGGTGACGTGTCCGCCAGGTGTCCCGCCAGGTCAACGACACCTGGCGGACACGTGAATTTTTTTTTTTTTTTAAATTGTTTTTTTTTAAATTGGACCAAATAAAAAAAAATTTAAAAAATACAAATAAAATTAAAAATGAATTAAAAATAAGTTTTAAAAAAATTTAAAAAAATAAAATAAAAAATCCACGTGTCCGCCAGGTCCTGGCGGACACGTCACATTCGGCGAGCCACGCGGACATCTCCGATGCCAGAGGACTAAAACAACGAAAATTTTTCACTTATGAAACTAATTTGCGACATGCTCCACTTACGAAACTAAAATGATAAAGCCTTCAGTTACGATAATAAAAAAAAAACAGTTTACCCTAATAATAATAATAATAATAATAATAATAATAATGATATGAGTGGAGGATGCTGCATCCAACGTCCAGGGGCACACTCTTCAAGCTGTGGTGCATAAGATTCGGATGATGTCGGTTCTACCAAGTCAAAATTACTTAGTATGGCAATCCGCTAATAATTATTTAGTTGTTAGTTGATTTAATTGGTTGTTAGCGTTTAATTAATTTAATTAGTTATTTGTATTAAATTATTTGGTAAAATAATTGTTGAATATTATCTATTTAGATGTAAAATGACAATCGAAAACATTTATATATTAATTTTTAAAATTATGTAATTGTGTTTTAAAAATTTTAAAATTTTTGTTATTAGTTATTTGAAATTATAAATGTATTATAAAATATTTTTTATTAATTTTAGATGTGAGAAAAATAATACTCCTATATGTTTTTATTACGAAATATGAATATTTTTTATTAACAATGATGTAAGATATAAAATAATAATTTTGTAAATATATTTATTATATTATATTATTGATTAATTTATTATATTTATAATTTTTAATAAATTTATTCTATTTTATTTACTTTTAATATAAAAATAAATTAATAATATTTATGTTTTTATTTTTATTTTATTTTAATAAATATATATAGTTTACAAATAAAATTAATTATATATAAAAATTAATCAATTTAAAATTATAATTTAATAAATAATATATTAAAATAATTTATATTACTGAAGTAGAAAATATATCTATATGTATGTGAAATAAATAATAGTAACATTTTAAAGGCAAATAAGGAATAAAGAAAACTAAATTGAAAAAGTTCTTCCAAACTTTGTGTTATATAAATTTTCAGAAATTAGCTTTTTAAAGTTAATAATCTATTTTAAAAAATTAATTTACCAAACACTTAAATTAACTTTTTAATTGATAAAACAATTAAAAACTATTAAATAAACTAAAAACTCTTAAAAAATGTGTTTTTGACAAACATCGCCTTAATAGGAGTAACATGAGTGTGTTTATTTTGATGCATTGATTTTGAATTTTGAATTGAATGAATAAATTTTGAATATAAAATTATTTTTAATATAATATTAAAAGAATAAAAAATAAATATTTAAATAGATATTTTTAAAGAAAAAAATTATGAATAATAAACAACCTTAAGAAATACTAGTATAATAGTAACCTGTCTCATTTGAATTGTTTTTCTTTTTTAGTAAATATTAAATTATTTTATGATATAATTGTATAATCAATTAGAATAACACATATATTATCAATTAGTATATGTATATAATATGTATGGTTATATATGTGTGGGATGATGTGATTAATATATGATGTAGAGAGTTGGGAGAGAGACGGTTAGGACATCTCCAATCCATCAACTCCATTTATAGGGTTTTAACTCTAAATATCAAGTTGCTACAGTAATTTTACTTCAATCATAACTCTATTTTTCACTATTATTCTTCAAATATTTAATTTTTTATATTATTTAAACAAATTTTTATTTTTATAATTTAAAATAATTTTTAAAAAATTTTAAAAAAAATTTAAATTTTAAAAAAAAATTTAAAAAAAAAAAAGAGAAAAAGGGAAGCAACACCATTTTTTAGCATTGCTACAGTGCAACACCAAAGCAACGTAAAAAAATAGCGTTGGATTTGACATAAGTTGGGGACAACCAGCGCCAAATCATCCAACCCAGCGCCATTAATGATACTGAGTTGGAGATGCCTTGTATGTTAGTGAGTTATGAATCGCATTTATGCGTAAGTCAACAAACACAGACATACATTACTTATATTAATAGAAAATGCACTAGGATAATCATGGTTACAACATAATTTATAAATTCAGCACAAATACCGACAATTAAAACTTAATTATTTATAATTATATTAATTATATAATTTAATAATATAAATTAACATAATTTATTTTCACATTCAGCATATGTGCTGAAATTATTATTTCAGCATTTGATTTTCTACCTGGTTATAATATATCTACATCTTCTATGCATAGTATAAATGTGTACTCTACGTGAATACTTCGTAACAACTAACAATTTATTTGAAGAATTTGGAAATTTTTTATTGTTCTTTCAAAATTTTCATCCTAAAACTATTATTAGGGGATGTGTATTTTATTTTGATAAACCATATGTAATTTTAAGTAGTTAATGATTTTATATATTTAGTTGTCTTGTATTGAGAGTTATTTGTGGGTAGGATTAATTTCCTTTTTGCAGCCTATGTATTTTGGATGTACATATATGTTTTGGTACTGAAAGTTACACAAAGAAAATATTTTTCCTCTCGTTTTTTGTTGCATTCTTAGGCCATCTCCAATTATGGTGTTTTCTTATTTCCTCGTTTCGTTTCAATACAATAGTCTTATTTATGGTTTTTGTATGTCCCAAAACAATAGTCTTATTTCCATAAATAATCATTATCACCATAAAACTACCTCTACTTTTTCATTTTTATTACACAATTGCCATTATTTTTTACACTAATACATTCACAAGAACAAAAGAGTATTTTATCCATATTTTTTACCCACTACCAATATAATATCAATATTCTTTTAAATATTCGTGTCCAACCAATTAAGACTATGTTTATGGGATGGGGGAAGTATTTTTTTATTTTTTAAATTTTTACAAATTATAAGTTGGTCCCAACAAGGACCAATTTGTAATTTTTTGTATATATTTGTATTTTTAATATAAAAAATTGTTTAAAATAATATATAAAATAAAATATTTAGAGAATATTTTTTTGAAGTCGAAAATAGAATTGTGAATTGGAATTAAATTATTGTAACAATTGCACTTTTAGAGTTATAACTGCATAAATAAAATTGCACGATTTAGACGAAACTCAAGACAAAAGAGAGTAATTATCTTTATTTATATCTATATTTATGTAATCTCTTCAATAATAATTGATATATATATATAAATAATGTTAATATTTTAATCATATTAATATTATTAAAATATTTATTTATATAATAATATTATTTTATACGCTCGAAATTGAGCATTACATTGTTA